TACTTATTCACATTTGGGTTACAGATAGCAGTTTCAACAGAAAGCTGAGGTATGGTTGAGGTATGCAGTTTTATGGGGATTTTTACCATGTCACACGTGGACACTGCCAAGTGCTTTTTTGAGGGTTGGGCCAGGAGGTAAGGGTGACTGCTTGTGTCTACAAGGCTACAACTTTTTCAGCTAGAATCCTGGGGATAACTCCCTCTGACTTTTCTTCATAACCTCTGCCTTCCCCCAGACTCTTGCCTCTGTCTCCCTTAAACCACACTCCAATGCAAACTGTCCCCAAAGTGCAGGAGCACTTTCTGTGTCCCTCGCACCCATAAACGCCATCTCTAATGCACCGTTCACACCTAGACCCACGCAGTAGCCTCTCCGGGGGTCGTTCAGAGCCACCTGCGGGGCAGGCACCACCAGGCCGGCCTCCCCGGAGCACAGCCTTCCGCCCCATCTACATCCCAGCCTGTGCACCCGAAGGGACCCAACTGCCTAGTCCCAGCCCCACTGAGGCGAAGTCAGGGACCAGCACGCACACCCTCAAGTCTATATGAAGACCCTCCCCGGGGGCTGTGGCCGGCACCAACGCCTGGACCACCCCGGCCCTGGGTGGTGGATGGGGGTCTGGGGCGCACGCCGCGGAGGCAGGGAGGAGGATGGCGGGAGCGAGAGGTCTCCGAGACAGGCTTGTCGTCCCCACCCTTTCAGGGGCGGCGGGACCCAGTCCCCACCCCCGTCCCAGGTCCCCGGTCTGGCGGTACCAAAGCCGCAAAGGGCGGCGAGGGCGCGTGCCGGACGCCTGGGTGCCTCCCGGTTCCTGAACCCACCTGGTATAGTGGCAGCTGCACCGCGTCACTGAGGGTCCGCGACAGGGTGGAGTCCAGGATGGTGGTGCTGGAGGGCGACCGAAAGGCTCATATTTGCGACTGCTCTCAACTTTCCTGTCGGCCACCGCCGAGACTCGCTGCGAGGGAGCACTCCCCCGCCTCCAACTTCAGCAACTACCAAGCCGGTTCCCCACCTTGCCCACGCAGGCGCCGAAGGCCGCCCACGGCACAATCGCTGCGTGGAACCCTGACACGGCAGCCAATCAGAGAGCGCCGGCCGCCCAGTGCCCTTCACCCGCGCAGAGGGGCGGGGCGAGGGAAGGAAGCGCTGCGAAGGCTGTAGCCTGAGGGCGCCTCGCGGGCGTAGCCTGATGCCTTCACGGGGTGGGACGTTAGAAGGGCATCTTTGCCCCCTCAATCTCCTCCGTTTCTCCTCCCTGGAATGTCGCGGCCATCCACCTCTCTCTAGGAGGGATGGCAGGCAACCTAGGGGCGCGCGGTGGCCCCAAGGAAAAGGAGCGAAGTGAGGGACGTCCCAAGCATCGCTGGGGACTTTGGAGACCAAGCGCGGCCCTGGGAGGAGGAGGAGGACGGAAAACCAAACCTACCTGAAAAGCCCCTTCGTCTTCTAAACTACTGTGTAAAAGCCCAAAGTTAAGGACAATCCCGTGGTCTGACCCTTTCAAAAGTCGCCCTCCAGCTGCACCTGGGCCTTCCAGGTGGAGGGAGGTGTTCCTGGGTTGGTTGCCTGTGGTCGCGGGGAGACCGACTCACCTTTGCTGTGTTAAAGTTCAGTTCTTTGGTCGCCAGGCGCTGTGATTGAACGTCCTGCCTTCCTCCTGAAACAGGCTGTTTCACCCCTTAAGCACAGTCACCCTCAGACTTTTGAATTCTGCGTGTCCACATACCTTCTGGGTGTTGAGGGAGAGTCATATATAATTCATTTGCCCCAAACTTCATAAAAGAAATCCATTTGAGCTCTTTGAAAATACAACATCAACTTTTGTTCAGCAAACTTTTGGAAGAGAAATACCACAGGAGGGTTCCTAATGCCCCTTGAGAGCTCAAGACTTAAGGGTTTCGCAGTTTGTAATTTGGGTAAAATACTGTTTACTGGGAGTTTAACCTCATGTTTTAATACTTTTGGTAGAATAGCTCAATAATCCTCACAATGATGCTGTGAGATAGATATTACACACCATCTTTCAAATAAATTGAGGCACAGAAAAGTTATGTAATTTGCCCAAGAACACACAACTAAGTAAATTGGAATCTAAGTAATCTACTTCCAGAGCTGACCTTGCCACTAGGCCTTTGTCTCCCTCACACTTAAACCCATTCCAGAAATTCCCATCAGCTCGCAGTTGTACCATTTGCTTTATGACTAGTCTGGGATCTTGAACAATAGGACAGCACGGATAAGAAGAATACACCCATTTTAGTAAATCGGTCCGTGGGCTATAGTTTCTTTGAAAAGGAGGCAGTTGAGCTAATCTGTGCAGTCCCTTTCTGCCTAAAATTGAGTAGTCAATGTAATCTTAGTTTGGTAGATTCTCAATTGAAACTGAATAGAGGATGGAAAGAAGAATAAGAAAAAAACCCTGGACCTTCGGTCAACCTGGGGAAGCGTTCCAGTGGGAACTGTAATCAATTAGAGAGCAACCTGTTGAGTTAGGTGCTTATTAAAGAATATTAATCCAAAAATCTAGATGTCTCTATTAATACGGTATTAGAAAAAAAAAGATATTTTCATTTTCTTCACTTTGGAAATGTGCAGAGGAAGCATACAGCTGGCAGAGCATACAAACTGAAGGAAAAAATTGAAATATCATTTTAAACCATTAAAGATGTGTGTTGGGAACACACTGCATCCTAGAGTAGGCAGCGTGGAGACACAGTCTCTGTGCGCCACCACGCCCAGCTAACTTTTGTACTTTTTGTAGAGCAAATAATGTCTACAAAAGGGGATTTCCTTAGGCTGAATTTTTATTTTAGTCACACATGACAGAACATAGCCTATATCCGGGCTTACTTCACCTAAGAGCATTAACAGAGTTTTGTGTTTACAGAAATAAATAGGCTAACAGCTAGTTTTGATCTATTTTGAACTTTTACAAACTACGCAGTAGGAAAGGATTTCAAAAGAACAGGCAATAATTATATAAAGATTTTCATGGATGAAAGTTAAGCAAATGAATGCATAACTTATCATCTGGATTACAGTATTACTTTGTGCAACCTTTAAAATTTTGACTCTGATGATTTTGAAAATTCCAGGCACCATTAGACTCCATTCTTCTGGACAGTATTTCTCTAATTGTATACATATTTATGTTTTTTTTGTTAGCGTCCACTGTAATCAATTAAACAATACTGCATTATTCTAGGACAGGAGCCAGGAACTTTGGTCTTATGGCATAAAACTGCTCTCTTACTCCTTGTGTAAAATATATTCCACTACTGATTCCTAGATACGTATTTCAGAGAGTACTTAAAATTGTTCCCTTTGGAGTTGCTTGAGTGTCATTGAAAAATAAAAGAAAAAATGAACTCATGTATATCTGATACAACCCAACAAGACAGTGGGTCTCTGTGGGGTTCCAGAACCATCTTTATTAGAATCACTCAGGATGCTTATTGAAAACCCAGATTCCTGAGCAATAGTGAACACATAAAAGAATCAGAATGTGCTATGTCTGAGCCCTACAATCTGCCTTTTATCAGTGTTCATGGGTAATTCCTAAGTACACGGTGAAGTTTAAGAACCATTGCCGTGGGCCTTTAATACCTCTCGTTTTGTTAAGAACTTCATTATAATTCAGCAAATGCAAACATAATTCACATATGCTGATTCTGATACCAGAACAAGTAATTGAATTAGGTTTTATTCTGTGTTTCTAATTTACAGATAATAAATCCACACTTTTCCTTTGCTAAAATGTGAAGTAAATTCCCTAACATTAAATCGCACTCGTAACTATGACAATGAATATTACTAGACCCATTTTATCATTTAAATAAAATAAAAATCAAATGCCCAGGGCCCTTATTGATTGTATATGTGTAATAATGATGTAAATACTCCTGTATATATCTGAGTAACCATAGTTTCTTACAAATCGTAGTTTGTAAGATCTGTGTAGATCTGTGTCCTAGTCAGCACAGATCTAAGGCAGCAGAAAGTTATTTGCCCCTATCTCTCAGAAAAGCCAGGTGGAATGCTTTAAACACCTGGCACTTGAAATTGTGTTGTGTATGTGTGTCTGTTTACTGATTTGCTGTCTGCATCCCAACCCACAAAGTGTGAACTATGAGTGCAGGGGCTCTATCTACCACTGAAGCACCAGCACCTAAAACAGTGCCTAGTGGATACAGGTGCTTAACAGATATTTATTAAATAAGCAAAAAGAAAGGGAATAGTCCCACATTAAGACAGTGCATAATATGAAAACTTCACCCTAAATCATCAATAAATCTTTGAAACCACAATGTTTATTTTCAATGGTCATTTAATTGTGTCAGTTTATTTTATTAGCCAAAGTTTGTAGTATCATACTGCCCTTTGATGCTATTTGGTGCCTGGAAAATATGCAGTACAGGCTTTTCTTTCCTTCTTGTTCCCTAACATTTCTGGGGCTTGGGGGGAGACAGGAAGGGAAAAATGTTCGTGAGTCTTCACTGCTGTATTGCTCGCATAGCTCAAAGACTACGTTAGAATCATCACATCTTTCCTGAAATATGTTGCCAGCCTGCCCTTGGAAGCAGAGTCCTGATAACCTTGTGTTAAAGAGTGTCTAATGCACTAGACATTTATTTAAGATCGCTTATGTGCTAATAATGGAGACATTCAACACAGTGCCCAATTTCCTGTATTTAAACTTACTGTTAGGTCACCCTAACAACAAAACATTTCTGTTGTTTTCCTTTTATGCTTCTTTCCCTAATAAACTGTGGAAAAACTCAGAAAGAAAATTAAAAACATTTTAAGATTGCAAAAGTATAATCTTTTGAAAATGCTGCAATGTCAAGCAATGTATTTACAAAGCAATGCTGACATTTTAAAAACAGATAACATTCAATAAGTTTATTTCATTGTATTATCTCTAAGATTTTCTGAGCTATTTCTTTTTGTTTTTTTTTTCCCCCGGCCAACGTTATTTATTTATTTTTTGTCTAAAAAAACGACCAAAATGCATTTATTTAATATACATCACAAGGGCTCAACCGAGGCTTAATTTAAAAGACAAAACAAAACAAAAATAACACCACAGCTCAAGATACAGAGTCCTATACAGAAATCACAAAAAGGACAGAAGACCTAAGGAAAAATGAAAAAGATGACACAAGGACAGGCTGAGCAGCCTGGGTCAGGGCTCCTGCCTGGTGACCTGCTTTGAGTAGGTTTCTTGCAGGTACTTCTTAAAAGCTGTGGGGTTTTTCCAGAGCTCAGCAGCATGTGTGTTCAAGGGACTATGGATGTTGGGTTCTCCTAGCAGGCTCTGGATGGAGAGCAGAATGGTCCTGACATCATACAGGGCAGACAACTTGTCCTTCAGGATGTCGAGGCATATGTTACCCTGGGTGTCCACATTGGGGTGGTAGCAGGGTGTGAGGAACTTCACCGTGGGCTCATTGTAAGGGTAGCCACTGGGGAACTCTAGCGAGAGCTTACACCTCAGGTCTTCATATACTGTTCCAGCTGCTCCATGGATGGTCCCTACCCATTTGAAAAGGTTGTCTGATTCAGGGAAGGCAGAAATCCCTTTATCGCCAGACATCATTAGGGTCATCAGCTCCTGCTGTAGCCTTTTGCCCACGGGGCCCCGGGCGGCGCCCCCGCTCGGCTGGGCTCCTTTACGGGCGGCAGCGACGCTAGTGGCGGCTGGGTCGCGGTTTTGGGAGGCCATCCGGGCGGCGCTGGCAGAGAGACAGGAACTCGGAGAACACGACTGCAACTGCCTGGCCAACTTTATTTTTAAAAATCAGGGAGGGCCAGGCGCGGTGGCTCAAGCCTATACTCCCAGCACTTTGGGAGGCTGAGGCGGGTGGATCACGACATCAAGAGATCGAGACCATCCTGATCAACATGGTGAAACCCCGTCTCTACTAAAAATACAAAAAATTAGCTGGACATGGTGGCGTGTGCCTGTAATCCCAGCTACTCGGGAGGCTGAGGCAGGAGAATTGCCTGAACCCGGGAGGCAGAGGTTGTGGTGAGCCGAGATCGTGCCATTGCACTCCAGCCTGGGTAACAGGAGCGAAACTCCATCTCAAAAAAAAAAAAAGAAAAAGAAAATATGTGGTGAGGCTGAGAAACAAGAAGTACGATTTTTTTTTCTCGAGGCGGAGTTTCGCTCTTGTTACCCAGGCTGGAGTGCAATGGCATGATCTCGGCTCACCGCAACCTCTGTCTCCCAGGTTCAGGCAATTCTCCTGCCTCAGACTCCCGAGTAGCTGAGACTACAGGCGCGCACCACCATGCCCAGCTAATTTTTGTATTTTTAGTAGAGATGGGGTTTCACCTTGTTGACCAGGATGGTCTCGATCTCTTGACCTCATGATCCACGCGCCTCGAACTCCCAAAGTGCTGGGATTATAGGCGTGAGCCACCGCGTCCGGCTGAAGTATGATTTAGTCTGAATATATAGCAGGGCTAGAGGAAGTGGCAGAATGTAGGGCACGAGGCCAAAATAGATTATAGGGGATTTGAGCTTTGTCTTATGGAAAATAGGAACTACTTAAGGTTGGTAAGCAAATACATTCAAGTTCTAAGTTGATCTACCTGACAAAAAGCTGGTGCAATAGTTTGGGTGAGAAACAATAAGGGCTTGAACTACAGATGATGGTGAAGAGAGGATTCAAGGGAACCAGAACCTTGGACTCAACTCCAGACCAGTGGGATACTACAATGTGAGTGAGGCCATTTTGCAACTTCCAGTTTGGCCCAGCCCCAGTGGAGAGCAGCTGATATGAAGTGGGGGAAGAGCCACACCATCCTCTTTGAGCTCTGCCCAAATTCCCGCTTTAAGCCATTACATTCTGGGTGCCTTTTTAGCAAGAAGAGATAACTGAGACAGTACAGCCATCCTAGGTATTGTGGCGCATTGGTTCCAGGACCTCCTGGGGACAACCAAATCCAAGGGTGCTCAAGTCTTTTATATAAAATGGCATAGGCCAGGGCATGGTGGCTTATGCCTGTAATCTCAGCATTTTGGGAGGCTGAGGTGGGTGGATCACTTGAGGTCAGGAGTTCGAGACCAGCCTGGCCAACATGGTGAGATCCTGTCTCTACTAAAAAATACAAAAATTGGCCGGGTGCAGTGGCTCACACCTGTAATTTCAGCACTTTGGGAGACCAAGGCAGGTGGATCATGAGGTCAGGAGATTGAGATCATCCTGGCCAACATGATGAAACCCCGTCTCTACTAAAAATACAAAAAAATTAGCTGGGTGTGGTGGCACACGCCTGTAGTTCCAGCTACTTGGGAGGCTGAGGTGGAAGAATTGCTTGAACATGGGAGGTGGAGGTTGCAGTGAGTGCAGTGAGCTGAGATAGTGCCACTGTAACTTTACTCCCACCTGTGTGACACAGACTCCATCCCCCTCCCAAAAAAGATGCAGTATTTGCATATAACCTAAGCAAATCCTCTTGTTTAAATCATCTCTGGATTACTTATAATAGCTAATATAAGGTAAATGCTATGTAAATAGTTGTTACATTATTGTTTAGGGAATAATGATGAGGAAAACAAATCTGTATATATTCAGTACAGATGCATTGTTTTTCCCAGATATTTTTTATCTGTGGTAGGTTGAAGCCATGGCTGTGGAACTCACAGATATGGAGGGCTGATTTTACTTTTTTTTTTGAGACGGGCTCATTCTGTCACCAGGGCTGGAGTATAGTGATGGGATTATAGCTCCCTGTAGCCTCGACCTCCTGGGGTCAAGTCATCCTACCACCTCAGCCCCTCACGTAGCTGGGAATACCCATGCTGAACACCATGTGTGGCTAATTTTTAACATTATTTTGTTGGAAATAGGGTCTCACTCTGTTGCTCAGGCTTAAGCAATCCTCCCACCTTGGCCTCAGGGTTGGGATTACAGGCGTGAACCACTGCACTTGACTTGGCCATTCCCCTGACTGTACTTTTTTTTTCTGAGACGGAGTTTTGCTCTTGTTACTCAGGCTGGAGTGCGATGGCGCGATCTTGGCTCACCACAATCTCTGCCTCCCGGATTCAAGTGATTCTCCTGCCTCAGCCTCCTGAGTAGCTGGATTACAGGCATGCCCCAGCGCGCCTGGCTAATTCTGTGTTTTTAGTAGAGACAGGGTTTCTCCATGTTGGTCAGGCTGGTTTTGAACTCCCAACCTCAGGTGATCTGCCCACCTTGGCCTCCCAAAGTGCTGGGATTACAGGCCTGAGCCACTGTGACCCGCCCAAACTAATAATTTTTAATTACCTGTGGCACCACGGCAAACACACTTCGTACTCTAGATCACAAATACATACCCAATATATCCATGTTCTTCACAAACCAAGAGCTTAAAACCATAAGCCGTATTTTGTTTTCTAATATTAAGTAGCATAAACAGAATGTTATTAACTGATCACTATCATTCCCAAAGAAGGGGTTGCTGGAACTGCTAATATTGGCACAAGAAAGAATAACACTTTATTGGTAAAAGTAGTATCTACCCCTAAAAAATGGTCAGTGGTCTGGAAAAACCCACAATAAAGATTATTGCCAGGGCTGTGGGACATCTGAAGCTGTCTTTAAGATTTCCAGTCTAGACCAAATCATATCTTTTTTTTTTTGAGACGAAGTTTCGCTCTTGTTACCCAGGCTGGAGTGCAATGGCGCGATCTCGGCTCACCGCAACCTCCGCCTCCTGGGATCAGGCAATTCTCCTGCCTCAGCCTCCTGAGTAGCTGGGATTACAGGCACGCACCACCATGCCCAGCTAATTTTTTGTATTTTTAGTAGAGATGGGGTTTCACCATGTTGACCAGGATGGTCTCGATCTCTTGACCTCGTGATCCACTCTTCTCGGCCTCCCAAAGTGCTGGGATTACAGGCGTGAGCCACCACGCCCGGCCAAATCATATCTTAAGTGCTTCCTGTGTCTGCTTCTACCTCCCACCATTTTTATACAGGTGAAATAAGATTGTAGATCAAAAAGAATAGGAGAATGTACAGATTAGGAAACATGTATATATGTTTGTAATGGTGGCAGGGTTGGCAATTTCATTATTATTTCCATGTGATTGTCAGGGAGTGCAGTGGTGGTGGTAGGAGTTAACTCTACAATAGCCTCTGATCTTTCTCAGGTCTAGTGTCTTACCTATTTACTTTGCACAGTATTCAACTCTTGCAAGATAAACTAAAAGTTTAAAGCAAAAACTGGAGTTTACCAGAATTCCTACTGCAAAAGTTAAATATAATTTTTTTTTTTTTTTGAGATGGAGTTTTGCTCTGTCTCCCAGGCTGGAGTGCAATGGTGCAATCTCAGCTCACTGCAACCTCTGCCTCCCAGGTTCAGGTGATTCTTCTGATTCAGCCTCTGAAATAATTGGGATTACAGGCCCCTGCCACTGTGCCCAGGTAGTTTTTATATTTTTTAGTAGAGACAGGGTTTCAACATGTTGGCCGGGCTGGTCTCAAACTCGTGACTGCAGGTGATCCAGCCACCTTGGCCTCCCAAAGTGTTGGGATTACAGGTGTGAGCCACTATGCCTGGACTTTATTTATTTATTTGAGTTTTGCTCTTTCGCCTAGACTAGAGTGAAGTGGCATGATCTCATCTCACTGCAAACTCTGCCCCCCAGGTTCAAGCGATTCTCCTGCCTCAGCATCCCGAGTACCTGGGATTATAGGTGCCCACCACCACTCTTGGCTAATTTTTGTCTTTAGTCGACATGGGGTCTCCAAATCCTGACCGCGGGTGATCCACCTGCCTTGGCCTATGAAAGTGCTGGGATTACAGGCATGAGCCACTGTGCCGGGCCTAAAGAGAATATTCCAGAGAAATTAATTGCAGGCCAGGTGCGGTTGCTCAAAATGTAATCCCAGCACTTTGGGAAGCCGAGGAGGGTGGATCACCTGAGGTCACCAGCCTGGCCAACATGGCGAAACCTTATCTGCTAAAAATACAAAAATTAGCAGGGCATGGCAGCCAGGTGCCTGTAATCCCAACTACTTGGGAGGCTGAGGCAGAATCACTTGAACTCGAATCTGATGTTGCAGTGAGCTGAGACTGTGCCACTGCACTCCAGACTGGGTGACAGAGTGAGACTCCAGTCTCAAAAAAAAGAAAAAAGAAAAAAGAAAAGGAAAATTAATTGCAAGAACCATGAGGTTGTGACTTTTTTTGGTCTCCATCCCTATGTATGATTGAAGAATTGTTGCTGAAATGCTAGCCTTATTTACATATCCTCTCCATCTCTGATTCTCTACAGGTCAAAAATATTAAAATTCAACAAGCCTTGGAAGCAAGAGATTTTTCTTTTTGAGATGGAGTTTCACTCTTGTTACCCAGGCTGGAGTGCAATGGTGCAATCGCAGCTCACCGCAACCTCCGCCTCCTGGGTTCAGGCAATTCTCCTGCCTCAGCCTCCTGAGTAGCTGGGATTATAGGCACGCACCACCATGCCCAGCTAATTTTTTGTATTTTTAGTAGAGATGGGGTTTCACCATGTTGACCAGGATGGTCTCGATCTCTTGACCTCATGATCCACCCGCTTCGGCCTCCCAAAGTGCTGGGATTACAGGCTTGAGCCACCGCGCCCGGCCCAACAAGAGATTTTTCACAGACCTCACACTCTTACTCTTTCCCCCAGGTATGGCTCCTTAATCTAACATGGTTCTAAGACAGCTCCAACTTTTGATCCCAGGAGTACAATATTCGCAATTGGGATGTGCTAGTTGGTGGAGAGGCCTACCATTCTCTGGGATCAATGGGACCTTGCAAATGCTCTAGAGTGAGTGCACATCTGCACCAGAGTCTGGTAACACCTAGTGCTCTTCAATTTCATAGTAAAATCCCTAGTCTGGGCTGAAAAATAACCAGGCTCCAGGCAAGCTGCAATTGGCAGACACCACCTTTTAGATTTCCCAGCAGTGGGACTTTGTCTGGCTAACCAAAGGGAAAAGATGTCTATAAAGCATTTGAGCCTAAGTGGACAATTGGGTGTACAATACATAAGCTAATAACAGTTTTTTTTTTTTT